GTATTTGTTTCAAATATGTAATATAAAATTACTGTCTTTTGGTGTCTTTCATCATAGCTTTCACTTAAATTTTCTATTAAAAAAAAAAAAATCAATAAAACAAAAGCTTCATCACTTTTTTTGAAAGAAATAGGTATTTGGAGTCTGGCTTTAGCGTGCTTTTAATTCAAGCTGTTTCTGAGTCAAAAATCTTTTTTTCTTCTACCCTTTAAAATGAAAACTTAAAAAACAAGACCAAACAAACATCAGGAACACCCAAAGCAAACATTTTTACTGCAGATGAAGGTTTTATATAGTTCCCAAAAAGACAATAGCTTGCTAAGAGGAGGAGAATGGCAGCCTTTTTTTGTCTTTGGACATCTCAGTTGCTTTCTGCACCCTTTTAAGTGTAGGTATACAGAATACTTGCTCTGTCCAGTCAGGCAACACTTGATTTCAGTAAGAAAATTAAATCTCATTTCTTTATTATTACTTAACATCTCTGTCCCTTGTATGCACGTGCATACCGTTGTGCATGTTTCTGATGGACTGTATTGAGTTTGGTAAAACTGATTCTGCAGAACGTGGAACATTCTAATGCCTTTCCAAAAAGGAAATTAACGCTTATATGTAGCTTCAGTAAAGCTTGTGCTTGAAGTGCTTCATCGAATCAGAACCTAGTAAATATTTTGCTCTTAGAAAAGCAAATGTGGTTGTTAAACGTTCACAAGTGACACTGAAAATGGTCTTTGTATCTCACCAAACTTCAGGCAGTATTGGGTTCTCACAGGATTTAGTTGAATCTGTGAACTGTGGCGTAACTTGTGTGTGTCAAATGGTTATCTTTTATCTAACTGCACACTTTGAGTTGTTTGTTTCTCTTTCTTTCTTTTCAAAAAAAGAGCTGTACAGAAAGGTACCTTTTTTGTTGTTAAAACCTTTCTATCATTTCTGTAGTTACAGTAGTTTGAAGGTAGAATGTACAATATTCTGGCAATTTATTGTAGTCATTCAATTGCTGTAAACTCAAAACTATCCTAAAAGCATTTGACTATTATAGAATGTGATATTGCATTTAATATTATTCTATGATTTTGAACTTGTTACTCTTTCACTTAGTTTCTTTGTAAAAATAAATAAATAAAAAATTGCATCTTGTATTTCACAGCAAAATGCTTTCAAAAGTGGTTGCACTATTAATATCTACCTTCTAGTAGTAATGTCTAGATAATTTGTTTTGGGAAATATTCTTTACTAGTATAATTTTTTTTTTTTTTGAGAATAAGCTTGCCTTCATATATACCTTCCTGAAATGTACTGTTTGGATATGCAGGAAGGTAGATAGGTACAGAGAAGGTAGATAGTCTGAAGAAATTAGAGAGGTAAGCAGATGAAGCTCAGTTATCACGGTCTTTTCGTGCTCAGTAAATTTGCCAAACTGAGATCAGATGTCAGTGGTTACAGTATTAGGACACTTCGTGGAGAGCCTGGTCTGCAGAGGTATTCAGACAGCTGCTATGCAAATGCACACGTGTTGCAAGGCAGGAGACTCACTGACAGCTTCTGAAAGAGCAGTCGTCTTCATTTAAAGAGGTAAAAGCACCACACTGATTTCAACTGATGCAACTGTCTGCAATGCTGTATGAAAGTGCTGGGTTGTTTTTTTTTGTGGCTCAGCATGTTTGCACTTGTTAATGGATTTTTGAGGAGTTGAAAACCGAGGAGAATAGTTCCTATTCTTAACGTACCATATGAGGTGGTTTCATGGGGAGTTTTTGTTCTGATGGTAATTAGATGAATGAAAAGTATGGACTGAGCAGATTTCTACATTCTTTTCCCAAGAAGAATAATCATGTATTTATGTCAGTTATCATATGTGTCTAAAGTGTTGATTTTAAGCCTTTGAGTATAGCTTTTAATATTTCTTAAAATATTTATGGAAGCTCAGTATAGCTATTAGTTTTATAGAACACTGCTGATTATCTTGTGCTGGTGATACAATACTTTCTAAATGATGGTAATGAATATTAGAGAGGAATGCTTTCCCTTCTGCTCTCGTGTCCACATAACCAGCAGTATACCCCCCAGATGTTGATGTGGTGCATGATAGATTTTCACTAAATTAAATATTTTTTTCCAATTTTGATTAATTTTTTTCTTATTGTAATCAAATTGTGATTGTTTACATGAAAATGTAAGCATGCTTTTCTTTACTAATAATATCAAAGTAGATTAAGAATCGTTTGTCTATTTTTTTTCCTTTTTTCCTGACTGCTTCAGATTCAACTTAACTTCTACTGCTACCTACAAACCAAATCTATTATAGCCCACAGATGACATTTGTGACTCACTGTAACTGCTATCCATATGATTTCTGTGCCACAGAGAGCACAGCCCAGCTTTCATCAATATGTGTACCTTCAGCTTAGTGAAAACAAAAAGATGACAGCATCTTCCCAGGTGGAAGTTGTTTTGTGGTTTGGTGGTCTGTATGGACTTCAGCTGTATTTTTATCCAATGTGTCAGTTTTCTAAGCCAAAAAAGGACTTTGCCTGCTAACTGTATTTTTCAGCTCTTGAATACAGCTATGAATTGAACTACATATTATTAATGTGTATGAGTATATATGTGTACGTACAAATAAACTAAGATGAAGCTTGTGCCTCTTTGTTTATAAAATGATAACAAAAGACCTGCTGACCAAGCCTTGTGTCTTGACCAGTGCTAAATGGAATGCCGTCAAGCTAGCTGAACTCATATTTCCTGAGTTACTAAATGAACATATTCCTTCGTTGAGCTGGTTTCAGTTAGAGTGGAATACACACCTCTTTTCTCAGAGACAGCTGATGTGGTTTAGAATACCATCTTGAGAATCCCTTGATGATAGTTCATGCAGTCAGTCTACATTAATGGAAGAGTTCCTGATTTGCTGAAAAACTTTGTTAGGTAAGTGTTGCATATGAAGGCGTATATCCAGGAGAGTCAGCTGGAGAGCTTGGAATGTGTGGATTTTAAGCAACCCCTGTGCCAGCACATTGTGCAGTGTGATAAGGCTGTATCAGCACAGGGGCAGTTTAGTAATCCACTGCCCTCCTGGAGGAGGAAATAGATTAGCCAGGCAGCCAAGGCTGACGTTACCAAGCACTAGCTACCCTAATAGCTCTGTCCTGCCCCAGGAAGGAGCTGCTGTTATCTTCTGCTTGCAAACTTTTCCTGAAGATGCCCTCCCGTCATCTTTCTCAGGGATGCCAGGTTTGTTTCACAGCTTAATAGTTTGGGGGCTTGACTTAGGGCTTTACAGAATGAGGAGTGCAGGCCAGCATTGGCATCAGTCCTGGTTATAAAATCAGTTGCAGAATTGTTTCTCTATTTCATAATTGCTGGAAGACAATTCTTCTGTTTTGAAGGTTCTGAGGGAACTTAAAATGGTCCATTGTTTGTGTTACAATCAGGGTGTAAGTTAATAGAATGCAGCTAAAATTGTAAATGCCCATGTTTTCAATAGTGCTCTTAACATATTCCATATGAAAATACATATCATTTGAATATTTAAATGTATATGTTATATTGAATGCATTATGATATTAAAAAACTTTACTTGCTTTACTTTTGATGAATGGGATGAGACTGTTCGCAGTTCATGATCTTTTGTGTGTTGAAGAGGCATTCTTAGTAACTGCTAGAATTGGTAGATTTTACAAAACAAAATATTTTAAAAAAATCACTGTCATAGATTTGGTATGGAATTCTGTATCTGATAACTTGCTTAATTAATCTCGGTTTACAACTACTATTGGCACTGTGCTGACAAAGCCTGAATTGTGCTAAGCAGAGTGAACTGAGAAAAATGAGCTTGTCCTGTCGTATTTTGTTTAAGCCTATAGTAATATGAGGCATAGAATTCCACACATACGGAAGTAAACCTTTTAAATTCGTTTTTTTTCTCTCCCTGACCTTAAGTTTGTGAGTCTAATATTAAGACATCATAGCTCCTTGCAATGTCTTGGATTTTACACTCCTTTGTGCTCTTTCTCTCCATGCTCTTTTGTTTCAGGGATCCCCTGCAGTTCTCATTTTATCCCTCCTTTATTTGGAGGCTGTTTCCTGCATCAGCTGTTCTCAGTCGTTCCCCATAATAGAGCCTATGTTCAGGTCATTTGTTACCTGTTCTCCTACCCTTTTCCCCTCATGTCTTTTACTTATCCTGCTCTTGATTTTGGACACAGCAGCTGCATGCTTGGTCCTCCTAGCAGGCATGCTGCTGCTGTCTTTGTGACTTGCAATTTTTTTTTTTCATGCTAGTCTGAGTCTTTGCATTTCTTCTTAGCACTTCTTTTCCCTCTTGCCATTTGTTGCACATCTTCTCACTAACTTAAATAAATAAATGTACCTATAGTCTGGTATTATTTTGTGGTGGGAAATACTGATATCTTACCTGATGTGTTCCTGTATGCAAGCTGAGCGTTTTCTGCTGGTGCCTGTGGCTGCAGGAAGCGATGTCAGAGAGATCCTTTGCCTGAAGCAACTGGTAGGTGGGGGATCTGCATTTTCCCAAGAGGCTGATTTGGAATTCTCTATCCATCTTGTACCAGAATCATTCATCTTATTGTCTGTTGGTGCTTAGAATGCTCCCTGATGAGCTGAGTTGTTTCATACCATTAGTAACCAGGTACCATCCCAGAAAATGCTGCTGAGGTGTGGGTTAGGCCATCTTTGTGTGATTCCTGAATTTGTCTTTCAGGATTAAACAGAGCAAGCATTGGTTTTCATCTCTTTATTCTCCCTGAAAACTGTTGAACACCATTTAATACCAGCTCTGAATTTAGATAAGATTTGGAAAGATCTGTTCCATCATGGCTGGAGTGAGTACTGCGTTGTAATGATAAAGATGGAGCATGTTGTAGGGTAAAGCATATATCTCAAATACAAGAAGTTGTGTAAGATTTACTCAGATGTTTTCACTAGAACAAGTTTTTATTTATACTTACGTGTGTGTGTATGTATATAATATACAATATATGTGTATAATATACGTATTTATATAACACGTGTATATATATTTATAAAACTGTTTTTTTTCAACAACTTTGTAAGCAAGGTTTTGACAGTGGTGCTCTTTAGACCTTGAACCTTACCATCAGTGAAATAACAGCAGCTTGCATTCCCAAATGCTGACTTATGCTCCAGGCACTGTTGGGATACACAGTTGCTCTGAAATACTTTCTGAAAGGGAGGGAAATTTCAGGATCTATAAATTGTACCTTTTTCCCATGTGTTACCTTCACCATGCGGCCAAAATGGCAGGGGAGGTGGTGGTGGTCACATACATGTGGTGGGCTTAAGTCTGCTTGTGTGAGGAACAGCTGCTGCTATTCTTGGGGAGAAAAAAGTGGAAACAGTGCTATCAGTGGGTTGCTGCAACCAGCTCTCTGGCTGTGGTTTAAGAGAAGCTGAGGAAGGTGATGGCATGAAGCAGGCTAAGGAACAGATTCTGGCCCATAAGTGCTGGCTGGACATTTCTGCCTCCTGAGTCTTGGCTCATTCTGTACAGTCCTTAAAAAATAAGAGTAAAAACAAGGAAGATAACATTTGATGCAATGCACAGGACTACTTACCTTTGTGGAACTAAAACTTGTTTTCAGGGTTGAGAATTTTTGAACCTAAATGTATTACACAGTGGAGAACCAGGAACACGGCATCAGTTAACACTTTACTGCAAGACCTATTCCTCAGAGCTTAATTCTCAACAAGGAGCACAAGAGCAAATAAACTGGAAATGCTTGGTATTAGTCATTTGAAGCATTTACAGGCTCTGTGACCCAGGAAAGGATAACTTATTTTCCTGTTCATCCCAAAGTTCACCAGGAGATGTGGTGAATGCCCTGTCTCTAGAGGCAAGGCCGGATCAGGTCCTGGGCAACCTGATCAAGCTGTGCATGTCCCTGTTCATTGCAGTGAAGCTGAAACAGATGACATTTAAAGGTCCCTTCCAACTCTAAGGATTGTATGATTTTGGGTGGACAGGAAATGTTTGTATCTTCTCTCCTCTCACCTTTCTGTTCCATCACCTTGAGATAATTTGTGAATAAACTTCATACATGTAATATGTATTTTTTTGGTGAACTAGGAGAATTATTTCTTGTCACTTCTTTCAGCCGCTTATTCACAGTTCTAGTGTTACCATATGAATTTTCTTGAAAAGCTAATCAGTGTGGCCCAGTGCAAATTTGATAATACTTCTGGCTTCTCTATAAGATCTCATATAGGTAATGAAGAAATGGTCTACTTTTGTTTTAACATTCCTTAAAACAGAGCTGTGGTGTTTTGTTCTTGAGTTTTTAATACTAGCAATATTAAGGTGCTGTTAGAGGCTGCGAAACACTAAATATTTTGTATGGCTCCCAGCTATATGGAACAATAGTCACTTTACTGAAACTTGCTACCAATATAAATTATTTTATTTGTATTCATCTAGAAGGACTAAAACTTATAGCTAAACTTCCAAATTTCAGACCTGTGTGACTTTGAACTAGTTTTTATTTAATTTTGATTCAAGTACAGATACTAATTCCTGCAGTCTCTCTTCATGTTTGGAAATTGTTTGGCTCTACTGTTTCCCTTTCACTCTTGTTGATGCATTTTATTGTTATCTAGTGTGAGAAAAGAAGAAAACATGTCCATGAGTGAGGATAGAACATCCCATTAGTGTGAAAGTACATAACGTTTTTAGATGAAAGGGAATATGATGTAGCAGCCAAAGCCAAATGTTTAATTTTGAACTGATTTGCTTATTGCAGACAGATTTTTATTTATTTATTTTTTTTTTTTTGCAGAAAAGTGGGGGCTGTGGAGAAATTTCTGGCAGAAGATAAAACGATAGAAGGGGATTTAGGGAAAAGATCACTTTTGTTGAAGCACTGGAGTTGAGAGTAGTTTACTTTTTCTTGGTTTTGGGTAACAGTTTCTATGGGAAAACTCAGGTTTACTTTCAGAAGCGTACTTTCCAGAGCAGCAGCTCTAGTGCAGTGGAAAATCATGTTAGGGCTAACAGCCATGCAATGACTTCCTCACTTACCCTTATCTGGGTAAGCAGTGTTACAGCAGCTGAACTGCGAGGTAAGAGTTCAGAATAAAGTGCATCTTTTTCGTGTGCTTATGGAAATCTGTGTTCTGTGGAGAGTGTTTTGCAGAAACGCTCATAAATTAGAAAAAATAAAATCCTTCTTCTCTGTCCCGTTCTCTGAATGGTGTTTCTTTTTGGTATAGGCACGTACCCCTCCCCTTAGGGGAATTAACAGACTTCCTGCTGTAGTCATGTGGTAGAGCATTCACAAGTACTACTTTTTTTCTGAAAGGCACTCACTCAAGCTGGAGGAAGATACGTAAGAAATATTTTGTTAAAAGAAATGAATGCTGCCAACATTCCAGGACAAGAGCGCAGTCTTGACTTAAATATAAATGATTTTGAAGATCTGTAGGATAGATTGGCTTGAGACCCATTTTATTGGGAAAGGTAAAGCTTTAGAGAGTTTCATCTGCATTTGTGTTTTGGGGCTGTTAAGAGGAAATCTCAGTTTGACTCTGAGAAGTTTGTTAGATTAAAGGGGAATAGATGACTTTAGGGGGGAGACTTGGGTGACTGTTTCTTATCTTGGCTCCTGCTTTTTAAATTGTGTAGCATTAGTGCAGCAGTCGTTGATTTCACCAGTAAGTGATTTGTGAGGCTGTTACATATCAATAGAAGATGCTGGAAAATATCTTCATTTTCAATTGCACCTCCTCTAGGCATGCGTCCTATCGGAAAACTTAAAAAGGTGGCTTTGAGTGACCATCTCCAGTGTGATTTTCATCAGGAAGGTGCATAAATTTAAATAGAAATAAACGTAACTAAATCTAACTGAATCAAGCACTGCATCTTTCAAGCTGCTTCTTTGATTACACGCACAAGCACAGAGGCAAGAATGTCTGGTGCTTATTTTTACCTGTAGCATTCAAAGACACCACTTCTGGAAAGTGGTTTTTTGCTTAAGAGACCCCCTCTTTGATTTTGTCAGTAGTTGTTAGGGTTACCCTGAGTTCGGGTAAACTTCTGCATGACATTTTGTCCTAAGAGATTTTTAAATAGAGAAGCGTTTTTTCCCCTTCACCTTTCCACACACATGCATCTTTCAATGTAGAATATAAATACTATTCCAAGTGACCTAGTAAATAATCCGTAAGTGTAAGAATTTATTTGGTATTTGAAAAAACAGTAAATTGGAAAGTTTATAGGAACAGAGTCCAAACAGGGTCTTTAAGTGCTTAGGTCTCTGTGAAGTAGAGAGTTAAAGCAATTTTTAATATATGTATTTTTCAGAATTTTCTACTGTCATGCAGTAAATTAAATTTGTAATGTGATGGATAAATTGCTGAAAAGTGTCAAGTGAATATTGTCTAGAAATAAACAGTGCCCTCTTTTTTTCCTTAAGCAGTCTTGATTGGTGGGAATAAATGCATTTTTGAACTGAACAAGCATCTCTTCCTCTTTGTAGTTTAAAAAAAAATATATGAAGAATATATGATTTTTCTGTTGGGGAACAAAAGGTCAACAGTTCAATTTTATTTTCAGACAGTTTAAAGTGAAATCCCTGCAAAAGTAGGTAGCAGTGTTTCAAGGGATTAGCTGTAAAGTGTAGCAATCTACTGTGATTCTGAGCTTTGTCCTTCTGTGTAAGATCAAGGTTATGCTTCTTATGTTTGAAGACTGTTCTTTGCTTATACAGTGCATAAATGTACCAGCACTTCTAATGAAATATAACTCATACACACTGCTGAATGTTTGAGCTAGGGAAAGAAAAGATACAATGAAAACAGATTATGCAAACACTTTTTGAATCCTTCATGAAATTCAAGAATGCCTCCTTTATAAAATCTTACAACACTCACCATGTCATGAATGGCTGAGTTTTAATTTCAAGGCAAGAAGGATGGCTGAAGTGAAAGTGAGACCATCAGTGAATGAGTAGCAGTAAGCTTGCTTTACACAGAGCGTGTTTCATCAATCTATCACATAGATAATGCTACCTAGATATCAACTTAGGGCATTTGTTTCTCTGTGATTTTGTGTGTTGGACTCTTATCACTACTTTTGTAAGAGCCTGCTGGTCAGTGTGAAATGGTTTGCCATTTTGTCTTGTCTGTATACTTCATAGGTGTTGTGTTCTTCTAGAATTTTCCCATCTTCTTTCTTGACTTTGGTTTTCTTACGTCTCCAAATGGCTTAAGCAGCTAGGCTTAAGTCTGGTCTGCTGGGAAGAATGGGGAGTAAACAGTCCAAGGAAACACCACTAGTCATTAAGCTTCGTATTTCTGACTTAGTAGCATCAACCCTAAAGCAACACTGAGATCAGGTCATTCATCGCTGCAGCTGTTTTAGAGGAGAGATATGGTCTTGAATTGTTTTTCTTTCTTTTCCCTGGAAGTTTTCTTGAGTGCATTTGAGCTGATTATTAGCTCAGCATCATCTTCTCTAAAAGTGCTTTTAAAAGAATTCAGGAAAAGCTGTTGTTTTTTTTTCTTCCTTTCTCGTGTGTCTGTTGTTATATTTACCCAGGTGCGAAGCAGAGGTTGGGTTCTGGTTGGTTTACACTGCAGCCAGAAAAGGTCTCTCATCCAAACCCACCTTGTGCTGCTTGCAGCTAAAGGTCTGAAGATGTCTTCTCTGTTGATTATAGGTTTCATCTTTGCTATCCAGACTGCAGAAAAGAAATTGTTGATGACAGTGCATGCAAAAAAAGATGTGCAAGTTCTCAACTAATCATGGAAAAAGTCACAGACCAGTTGCATCTGTACAGATCACTTTGGGGAGTAGAGGAGATGGCCATACAGCTTGCCATGTCTAGGCCTCACAGGAGGAGGTGGTGGACTGGGCTCTGAAGGCAAGGTGGAGTGAGCGGAAGCGATGGGTAGGAAATGATGTGAGCTGGCTACCTGCTGTTGGAAGTGTTTCATTATCAGACATTGTGTTTTGTTTTGTTTTGTTTTTTCCTTTTGCAACAGACTAAGACCAGAGATAACTTAATCTCATTGCGTTTTCTGGTAAGTGTATAATAAGAGTGACAGGAAAAGATGCAATTATGTGTAGTGTTCAAGATATGGAGAAATACCTTCTTCCAAAAATACCATCTGTGTTGGATGAAGTACTAATAAAAAGCCAAGCCGTCTAACTACAGAATTCTCTCAGCATTTTCTGTCCTCTAGACAGTTGCCAGTATTATTTGTTAATCTTTGTCTTAATTTCCAAATGCATTAACAATACAAGTAAATACAAATTTCTGAAGAAAAAAAGGGGAGAAATGCAAAAATGACAAGCTGAAATATGTTTGTTTGTTTGTTTGTTTGGTCTGAGGTTTGCTTGTTTTAAATCCCTGAAGATTGTCCTTGGGCAATTACTTAATAGTAATCCCATGTGTAGGAAAGCACTTCAGACCAATTTTTATTGTAAACCCTTTGCACTTTCTGTTCCAGTTTAGCCTAAGACCTGTGAGAATGCTTTCTCCATAACTTTTATCATTTTATTTTAAGCTGAGGTAAGTTATAAGGCTGTGAACTAGTGCTGCTAAACTTTAACATGCATTAATATAATACCAGCTTGCTCCTGCAGAATATCAGCTTTTTGTCCTTTGAAATTATAAATTTAAATCATCTGTCAGAAGCTAAAAATGAACACTGCCTTCTTGATAATAGGCATGCTGTTCCAGAAAGAGTATAGAAATATCTTTCTTTTTAAGTAAGACATCAAAAGATTTTTAAAAAACTTAACTTCCTTAAACAGATGAGTACTTATGTAAATAAGAAAGACAGTGTGTTTGTAAGAGTATCACATTGGTTATCTTGAAATGCCTCAGACCAGGACATTTTAGGTCATAGCAGTACCACTAATTGGAGAAGAAAAAATCTGAAATTGTGAAGATGGTATGAAGGTTACAGCATGAAACTGAGTGAATGTCATGTACAATTAGGGCATTATTGCATATATTAGCAGGAGGCTAGAATTCAAGCGTGTGTTCATTGTTGCTGTAGCAGCCTGTCTTGTAACATTACGGAGGATTATTCTACCATTAGAGAGGATGTCTGCTAAAGTAACACTTTAATCTGCTTTTTCAAATAAATGGTAGCCATGTTATTCTTATCTAGTAATACATTCTGGAGACTTACTGTTGTGGAAGTACTATTTCCTTTTCTTGTCGACATCAACTTCTGACACCATGTTCTTCAAACGGCAAAGCAGTTTTAGTCTGAGAAGTGGGCAGCATGACCTTGAGGTGACTGGCCTACAAGAACGGACAGAGGAGGCAAGGCATGAATGAGTGTATCCTGTCAGTATCCACCCTGCTCCTCATTGGCCTTTCAGCCAACCCAGCAGACATTGGGTAACACCTTGGTGCTCGGGTGAGTCCTGGAGGGCTGGAACCTAGCACAGTGGTGGCTAACTCAGTCAGAGGTATCATTAGGGCCACAGGTACATGCTTGTACGATGCATGCTTTGACATCAGAACTGCTCTCCTTCCTAAACAGTGAGTTCACTTGTTAAGAGATGACTCGAATCCGTCCCTGCTAACTTGACCTGAACAGGCTAATTCATGGGATAGCCTTCATGAAAATGTTGTGTAGGAAGCTTTTTACAAATATGTTTTTATGCAAGTTTTTATTTGAATGTATGTGAGTTGTTTTTTTTAATGGTTTAAAAAAACTGTATTGACTCCTTGGCAGGAAGGAACATTTTGTGTGTTTTTATTTTTTTTCTTCTTTAGTCCTTTGCACATTTTTTTTTTTTTTTAAGACTTCTAAACCACTTGTAAGACAGAAAACAAACTTAACTTTTTGCTCTATTGGAGCTAAGCAGAAATTCGTTACCACCAAACTAGTCTTGAGGTTTCCTGTTTGTAGTTTTGGAACTCAAGATGTAAGACACTACAGTGTAGCTGCAGTTGTATTAGGAGATTGAAATGCCAGATATATTGTAGAGCAGAGAGAATCAAAGAATATATTAAAGGCATCCGTTTGAAGAAACAAAAAACCAAAACCTCACAACATTGTGTCATTAAACATTAGAAGATGATGAGAAAGTGTTTGAGATGTGTGGGGGCAGGCTTCTTGATAGCATCAAGATAACATTACATAGCTAGTGTAGTTTTAAGTTACTAGTTGATTAAGATTAATCCTTTGCTGGTTTTGAAGTTGCATAACTCACTTCTATTTCGGTAAGAACTGTCATTGGGGAAAAAAGAAAAGGTACACATAATGCCTTTAGAGTTGACCTGGAGTGGACCTTTTGATGTATACAGGCCAAAGAATCTCAAATGTAATTAACCAGTCCACCAGGTTGTATCGCTCTTCCTCAAATATTTATCTGTAATTACTCTGTGTGTTTTCAAAGTGACTCAAGAGGAAAGTGAGTACTGTTGTGCCTGAGAGCAAATGTGTTGGAACCAGCTAGAAACATTCCTGTTCTCTGCAAAACTTTCCTGGGAA